CGGCTCCCGGGCCCGGGGGAGCCCAGCGCGCGGCGGCGGCCCCGGGTGAGTGCGGGCGGGGAGGGTGCGCTCGCTCGCAGTGCCGCTTTCTTTCGGAATGAACGCGTTTGCGCAGGAACGCCTGGCCGGCGTGGGTCACCTGCCCGCGGTCCTCGAGGGCAGGGACCGCTCCGCGGCCTGGAAAACTCCGGGCGGGCTGTTAGCAAAGTTGGCGCGCCCTGAGGGCGAGCGAGGGCCGAGCCCGGTGCCGCCGGGTGCCGCGTGCCCTGCGGGCTGCTGGGTTCGGGTCCGCAGCGGACTCCGACGCGCGTCGAGCAGACTCCAGGCCTCGGATGCGCCGCGGTTGGCGCTTGCCCCTGCGCGTGTCTGTTGGCTTTTCCCTCCCCCTTGATAATGTGGCGAGTTACTTGGGGTTTTTCTGTAAGGCAAGAAGTGAAAGAAGGATTCAAGTAACGCTCAAGCCCCAGTAGATACAAAGCAGAAGGCACCGTGGTGACACTAAAACGTTCTGGCATCCAGGGCTGTTAAATTCAATTACGTTTATCATTTTCTTTGGAAGAGTGACTCATTTTTTCTAAACAGAGAAAATAAAAAGGACTCGCTGCCGAAAAGCAGAGGATGAGGATGATAAACATGTGTTTCCCCAGAAGCAGCCCGCGTTCTGCAGGGCGCGCTGTCAGCGCGATGGCTTTGCAGTGCTTTGCTGCGTTCTCAGGATGGGCTGTTCGTGCCCCGCCTTGAGCTGTGAATCGCTACTGTTAAACAGTGCTCCTGGCAGAAATTAACGTCAGACGCCCCAGGAAAACAACTTGATCTGAAAGGGGTAGTGTGAGCCCTCTCCAGCTTGCACACGCACTTCTAAAGTCAGCTGTGAGAGGTTGCAGTGGAACTTCAACAACCTGTGCTACTGCCCTGGTCCTCCCGCGTCACGTGACCTGACGCTAAGAAGCAGGGCATCCGTCCACCAGGGCCTGGAGGACGCTGTGCTCACACCACTGGCCTCCTCCCCTGCAAACTGCGCTTGTATTGGACCTGGCGGTTAGCTGCAGCGATGTAGTCTCCTAGTCAAGCGCTGCTTTGTATTAGTTTAACTTTGACTCAAACTTTCTTTAAACAGATCAATTTGATTATGTCTAACATAAAACTGGTCGTTTTTTTAAGAAAGAAGATCCTATCTTGTTCAAATACTGTCTCCAGCAGTAGATTTCAGAAGGTGTAATTAAAGGAAAAATTTCGGGCTGGGTAGGAAGAAGCTTCAAGGTGTGGCTTCCCAGGAACAGGTTGGCTTGGTTGGTAAATCCCTTGGGGAGGAAGCTTTGCTTGAAAGCCATTTTGCTTTTGTCCCTCTCGTTTAGTTCTCTTACCTCTCTCTGGCTTTTTTTTATCATCTTTTCTGAAGAATAGTTTAATAATGCTCTTGTAGGAAGTCACTGCCTAGCTAGTTGAAATGTAATTTTAAAATTCTATACATTAAAGTCAGTGAGAAAAACAATATTTTAGCAAAGTTGAAAGAAAACAAAAGGTTATGAAGAAGTTTCCCCCTACAAAATCAAATATGTATAGACAGTACACACATAAAGAGATATGTATGTGTATATATATCTATATAAATATATATGTGTGTGTATGTGCATGCACGTGCACCATACATATATTAGTATGTTACATTGAGCTATCCATACTTTAAACCAGGGTATGGGACCTGGACATTGGAAGTGACTTTAGGAGTCCTCTAATTTGAACTCTCCCTCAAATCTAGGGTTCATTCTGTATCATTTTAGGTGGTGTTTAGAGAACTATAGTCTACATTTTAGCCTTAAGAGTGAGAAGGTTTTCCTTCCATAGCGTAAAGCTCTGCTTTCTCCAAAGTTTTACCTTTTCATCATGTTTCTGGCTGCTTTACTGTTACTTGGGAAGTATTACAGAACACGGAAGTCTTTCCTGTGTGTTCCAGAAGTTGTTCCAGAGCAAGGACATGAGCTCCTGCGGGCCAGGCTGTGTGAGGACACCAGGGCGGGTTTCGGACAAGAGAGGACTGGAATATCGGGGAACTGCGGAACTTGTAGGCAAAGTGTGTAGCTAATGAGTGTAATGTGGGCTATCTTCTGATATTTCGAGATGCACTGCAGGTCTGCATTGTTACGTATCATCCCTCGAAATTTAAGGGTTGGCAAACAGTTAAGTATAGTTTTTGTCCAGGCCAAGCTCAGCAACCTCATCTTCTGGCTGGATGTGACCTCTGAGCAGCTGATTTGTCTTCTCTGTTATTGAAAATAGAAAGTAAACATGTAGTTTGGAGCTATTTTGCAATTTATGACTAACCTCTGGGATACTGAATTACCTTCTTGTGTGAATTCCTGTTCAAATGCCTTGATGGGGGTGGAGACATTAGGAAAGATAATTTTTGTTTTAGAGAATAGGGTCTTTCTATGTGTGGTTCTTCCAATCGTTTCTCTTACCTGAGCATTTTAAAAGTTATTGTGTCTCCAGGCAATATTGAAAATCTAGGTATTTGTTCTTTGATGCAATAGTTTCTAGAATGCACAGAAGTTGAAAGCCTTTTATTTAAGTGCATCATGCTAGAATGCATGGAAGTTGAAAGCCTTTTATTTAAGTGCGTCATGCATAAGTTTGTGACATATAACTGGAGGGATCTTTAGAAATAATCCAACCAGTTCATGTTTTAGATCAGGAAAAGGACATCCAGTGAATTTAAGGGACTTGTCCAAAGACCCACAGGGAAGCAAGAAGTCAGGCGGAAGTACAACTTATGCAGTGTGTGTTATTGTGATAGATGTGGTTGTAGGGGAAAATCAATACAACTTTTCATAGGCCAGAGATGCACTGAAGTTGATAGGCTTTGGATATTGTGAATCATTTGAGCCTATTTCTGTCCCAACCCCCACCCCCTTGCATTTGCCAAAATGTAGACAGTGGGACTCTGAGTGCTGGAATATACTTTAATGTGATAATGTGTGATTTAATGCACTCTTCTCTCCTGGGAGAGTCCTCTGAGACTATTAGGCAGACTTTTCATAGCAGGATGCAAAATGCCAGTGAAGTTAATTAAAAATAATCTAAAATAGAAGCCAGAGAGAGGGAGGATCTTCAAGTTGAAATTACATAAGAAGAGCTTTGACTCAGAAGCTTAGCCGAGTTGTCAGGAGTTCATAGGGGCTAATCAGATTTCCTTTTGGAGAAGCCTGTTTATTTCAATTCATGTACCAGACCTATACGTACAGTATCTGTACTCTACTTTTATCTTGTCATGTTTTATCTTTTTAAGGGTAGCATTTCTTAGGATATCTCATCTTCTGACAGCTGCTGTCACTGGTTATCCACTGGAGGAGACTTTGCCCCCCAGGAGACATTTGCCTCTGTCTGATGACACGTTTGGTGCCCATAACAGGGGACAGGGAATGTGCTATAGCATCTAGTGATACAGGCCAGGGATCCTGCTTACTGTCCCATGGACAGGATCGAACAAGGCTACCACAAGTCTGGTCCAAACTGCCAGGAGCACCCAGGTCACCCACACCTGCACTCCCAGAAGCCAGAGACACTTTTTACTTCACTGCAGACTTGTAGAATCATAGCCTTTAGGTAAAAGACCAAAACAGTTGTTCAAAGTTGAGAACCACTCATTCAGAGGTTTTATCTGAGAAATGACATGTTAAATTAATTGACTTTCAAGAACAGAACCATTTTTTTTCTTCTTGTGAGAGGAAGTCTCCAAAAAACTCTAAAACAAAGCATGAGCTAATAAATAAATAAAATTTTAGTGCTGTCTTTCACCACCGGAGTAGATATTCTTGATCTGCTGTCCTACTGTTCTCTTTGCAGATCTCAGCAAGGGTAGGGGCAAAGAAGACAGTCCTGAATTTTTACACGAGTTGTGTTCATTTCTAAGTTGGACTTTTGGCACCTAAATTATATACTTTCTCATAAATACAGTCGTAAATTATATTTAGTTCTATAATAAATCTAAAAACGATTGTTGGAATTAAATTTTACTAAGTTTTTTATTCCTATAATGATAAATCCCAGACAGCATACTACTGCTGTACTGTCAGCCACATGTAAATAATGAAGAACAAATTCATTTTATTTATTTATTTATTTATTTATTTATTTAATTATTTTGTCTTTTTGAGACAGGGTCTTGCTATGCAATGCAGGCTGGCCTTGAGCTCACTTTGTAGCCCAGGCTGGTCTCAAACTCGTGACAACCATCCTCCCGCCCCAGCCTCCTGAGTGCTGGGATTACAGGTGTGAGCCACCACGCCTGGCTGAAGAACACATTTAAACTGAATGTCAGCTGGCTTAAACTGATTGAGGAAGGACAGGGCTTAGTCAGAGAAACAGAGGAAGGCATATCTGGATTTGGAAGAGGATGAGGAGACATTTTCAAGCACCTTAAACCTTACAGTCTTAATTTTTTTTATGTGTAAAGGAACTAATGCTGTTTGATAGGTGGTTTAGTTCTAGAAGCTCAGGATTCGTTGGCTGGGCATGGTCATTTTCCATTTGCTTAGGAAAAGAATCAGGGGAAGAAGAGTATGTAAGCAGGCAAAAGACCTAAGAAAGGGTGGAGGGTATTGGGGAGAAATTTAGGAAGAAGAAAAGGAAGGAAGGAAGGAAGGAAGGAAGGAAGGAAGGAAGGAAGGAAGGAAGGAAGGAAGAAAGGAGAGAGGAGAAGAAAGGAAGTTAAAGAATCACCTGAATTCTCACCTGTAAATGTGAGAAAGGATCTGAAGAGGTTTAAGTGTTTAGCTGAGAACGGTGCAGAGGTCTTCTCGGCGACAGCATCGTGTGAACCGAGTGCGGGGCTGGCGCAAAGAACGTGTGATGACAGTGCCTGAGAGACGCGTGCCCACCCGCAGGATTGGAGAAACCTAAGGAAAGGTTCTAATCTGAGCGAGACTACGAAGCGCGGCTGTGGGACTCGTCCACGGGGAGGTGGGTGATCAGAGGCAAGACGTGGAAAGCGTGACTGCAGGACGCGAGGGCTTCGCTCAGCACACCGTGAGGCTCGGAGGAGGAGC